ACATATCATTAAATCGGATTATTTATAACTTTCAGCTGCTGGATGAGTCCGTTGAAGCAAGACAAGCAATGTTAAATAATGCTAATAGAGAAGTGTATAGACGCACTTATCTTTCATCTTTTCGTAAAATGCTAAAACGCTCACCCAATCGCACTCGCAATTCAGCAACACCGTCTCCAACTCAGCCATCCTCTCCAGTTGACAGACGAGCTAGTTTAATTGGTAATTCACCAGATGGGATTATAAGTATAACTGATCTACAGATGATGATGATCGACTCTAAATTATATAAACTGCAACAGCTGCTAAGTCTTGAGACAACTTTACATATGATACATCTTAATAAGGAATCTCTGAGGAGGGCTGGTTGCTTGGTTGGATATCCTGATAAGATGGGTCTAAAGGTGTAAGTAGAGGCAAAAAGAGTATATTATAACAAATGCGTTATCCATATCATATTAATTTATATGCGAATGACGTGGTAGACAAGAAACACTGGAATCTATCTTTATAACGCTTTTGGAAACTTTAGGAACATTGCATATTAAGCCTGGTTTCGATATGTGAGTAACTAACGGGTTTGGTAGGAGTCCACACAATATTACTGATTTTATGTTAACATACAGCGGCGCCAATTAAATTCTCATTCTCTGGATTATTACACCTATAACTGTATAGTGCACTTCGACACATTGGAGAACATAAACCTGATGTAGAATCAACAAACACGGGTCTGGCATCATTAGTGGAGTTTTTCGAACTCGTTCACATTGTTGACTTGATACAGCAGATGATACAAGTATATTATGACGAAGAGATGGTATGCTTTGTCAGAGCGTGCGGCAAGCTAGAATACGTGAAGATGAAGAGAATGTCAATGTAGATAAATAACTAACAACATATGTTGCATTCTTATTTCTCTAGTGTCGATTCGTCGATAAACACGATTTTCTAAGTAGGTGCAATAAAGAGAAAAAGAGATTTGAAAAAATTCTTGATGAAAGCGTTGCTGCTGGTTTAAACAAAGGCATACAGGTAAGTATTATTACGGCAACGCTAGCTATCGAGTCAATTAGTCGTTTGTATCTAATAATTTCGTTATTACAGGCACTGATGGACCAAGCTGAATTCATTTTGATGACGGAACAACAACCTGAAGATTTTCGACCAGCAAATAATACACCATTAGAATTAAAGCCGTCCAAGGTGAACTTTAGATTTTTCGCAAATAATAGTCTGCTTCATCAGTATATTGTCGTATGTTAATGATTGTGCGATCCATCAGGCTTGCATACATACTGTTCAATGTCTGGAAGCGCATGCCAAACTAGTCGCAGGATGTGCAGATCAGCATACGTTAGATGTATTTTATCAAGAGATTGGACTGAGATTCTTCAGGTAAGCTGCAGAACTTGGGAACTGCCTGTAAAAACGCTCAATGCTTTTAACACATATCAATCTTGATCATAGTGTTTTACTTAAGCATCTGAAGAAATTTGTTGTCAGCATTGATGGAGGGTTTCAAGTGATAAGGTATATATTATGAGCTTGTTGGTCAATCATATTTCTGTCCATTCTGTCGTGCAGTTTACTTGCGTGTGTTCCATTCCTATATCATTCTCTCACCCAAACTTGTTCCTTTCACATATTCAAGTGACTTGAATCATTACACGTCCTTCATAATGACTCTTCAACAATCGTCGATAACTCCCTTCTTCATAGCGCTCAAAGAAATGGGCAGTGGATATATTATTTCGACAGCAAAGGATGTTGGACTTTTCATTCGTGAGGCAGAGCGATTCAAGGGAATCCTGAGGGCTGAAGATGTGTATGAGTTTGTGCAGATGAGAGAGGATTGGGCAGAAATTAAGAAGGAAGTCGAGAAACAGTTGTTTGGATTGAAAGCAGAAGATTGTGTTGTCATGTAATAACGAGGTGGTTTTAATCGAGGTTTGTGATGAATGGCTGGGCATACCGATACAGGCAGTGCCGGATGATTACCTGTTATAGATTTTTTGGATGTAATTTTGTATTCTCTCGCTGTAATTTATAAATGAACTATTATGACCGTTTAGCCGTTGTCAAGATGGCATCTGTAAAAGAACTAAAAAAATAAAATAAAAATATTTAATTTTACGGTATGAAAATTTTCGACAATATATGAGAATACTTTTGCACGTTCGCCGTTACTAAGTTTAAGTATTATTGTTTATTTACTTATGAGAATATTAAAGATACTATAAATTATATAAAAATGCGTTCAACTGTTCAATGATATTCGAGAATGATAGAATCTAAAGGTGTAGTCAATAAGATATTTAATTAAATTTTAAACTCCAACTTCGCTCCGCCATTAACTGTGCTCAGTCTGATATTGCCTTTTCTTAAATCATCTCCCTTGACACCGATCTTCGTACTGCGTGTATCCGTCTCAAACTTCACATCAAGCAATTCATTAACAGACGTAGGGCCCCACATTGTTTCCAGCTGGAATCGGCCTTTATAAATTCTTGGCTATTTAACGAGAGAATAGCGCTCTTAGTGATCGATTGATTGATCGGTACAAGCAATCAATAGATACCATTCAATGACTCACCAGAATCAATCCGACCGATCCATTTGTAGATACTATATTAACATCAATGTTTTCTTCGTTCTTTATGTGTCCCTGAATTGATACTGAGCCGTTTGTAGTCTTGGCCGAGAATTTCTTAGCCAAACGATAGAAACCCTTAATGTGACCGTTTGTTGTAGAAAGCTCTGTTACTAATGGTTGCATTGCTGGCGATACGCTCGATTCAATGTTGCCGTTGGAAGTCACAGCTATGAACTCTGTAGTCGGCTGATACGATCCGGCGATGGGTCCATTTGCAGCCTTGAGATGTGTCGTTGACGATTTTAACAACTATAGACATACGAGAATGCGTATATGAGAATGACTGATGTGAGCGTGATCGTATTTGTACCGAGACTAACAAAAGTGACAAGGTAATAATAGCAGCGACAACAGTAGCAGCGCAGTGGATTCAGCAAAGTGCCAACATAATATTTACCTTAGCATCGATGCTTCCGTTGGTATTGATAATGTCAACTTTATCAATAAACAAATTATTCATTTCACCAATCTCGACTGTCGCATCTACGACTTCCAGCTTAAGACTGGAAAGATCAGTCACCCTCTTTGGGAATGCTATTTCCGTATCATATCGAGCACGTGTAAATTGACGAGGACCCTTGTTAGATAAAGCATTTAGTTGGTTATCTAGTTCCACTGACAAGTCTGAACAAAATTTAAAAGCTCACATCATATACTTACCTCTATCGTCACGGTCAGGCCGTTTTCCGAGAATACAGGAGTAATAGACACTTTGCCCACCATCGATTCATCGGTTAGGAATATTTTTGACACAATCATCGCATGGTCTAGCTCGTATCTGCCATGCACTATTTTGACTGTTCCGTGCTTGTATTATAAATCAGGGACATTTACCAGAGATTTTATTACGTCAAATACGACAGAGTAGTCAATGATATCAGAGAAACAATATTGATAAGGTTGATTACCATTTGTCCGTTCACGATAAACGAAACGTTATCATATTTCATCGGATTGAATTCGATTTTATCATTTGGTATTGTAAAGAACGACAAGTCGCCAAGTCCGACTGACTTTACGATATTCTTGATTTCATGAATGAATGTCATTTTGGATACGAAGAGTGTCAAGGCGCCCCAAGTCGCTGTTATCTTTATCATCGGCTATGGCTGATCATATCTGTATATGGAGCATAATAACGCCACAAACAGGAGATGCCGCCGAAACTTTCTTCCCCATTTTAAAATATCTCGAGTAAAAATTTCGCACGTTCTTTCCTCTTTTTTGAGATGCCATATCATCTTGTATAGGCTAGCGTGTTATCCTCTATTGCTCGTAGACATTCTTTATCAATTGATGCGCGTATTCTCATATCCGTTCTATTGAGTTTTCGATCTTGCTTTCGATGACTATTACCATTTCCTTTTACAGAATAGACGTTTCTGATTTTAACTTCCTAATAAATCAATCATTACTCATTGTGCACTTATTGGGTTCAAATTTTTGTAGTACCTAAAGCTTAATTTTTGCACATGTGTGACAACGTGTGCACAGTAACGATATTAACCAAGAATACAAAATTATTGGAATTTTGCGCTATACGTTCAACAAACTAGTGTCTTTTATCCCTTGTTTTAAATATACGCGACCCAAGTATCTTAGTTTATAGCTACTGTTCTCAATTAACTGAGCTAGCATGTAAGCTTCATCTCACAATTTATTAACAAAAAGCACCTAGTACTAGTGTTAGGAGTAAATCGACTTTATTGTAATATCAACATATAACCAGTTCTTGTCTCCATACCTGTAGCTGCATAACTTGTTTGTCAGTTTAGGGGCAAATCTCCAGTAGGTAAAATCTTACTAGAGTATTTACTTTCCTTCTCAAGAAATGATAAGGGTCTTACATCATTATGATAAATGGCATGCCACTTGTTATCATCAGAATTATCCTTGATAAGATCACCAATATGTTTCTGAAGTGTCCATGCATCCGGACGCTTATCAGGATCAGCACCACAACACCACTCAGCAATTTCTTTATATTCCTCTGGTGCTGAATCAGGCATTTGTGGTCGCAGTCCACCCATAATATCACATACTAAATCTCTATCGAATTGCCTATCTCTAAAAGGTGGTTCGCCAGTGGCCATCAAATACATAGTAATACCAAAAGAATACACATCTGATTTCTGAGTAAATTTGCGAGTACGGAAGACTTCTGGTGCAATAAAGGGTAAAACGCCTCGAATGGTTGAATGTGACTCGCGTGAATTCACCGATTGAGACAGACCAAGATCGCATATGAATAGTGTACCATCATGTGAAACAATGTTCCCGCCATGAAGATCACAATGTACAGATCCTGTATTATGAATTGTATACATATCATATGCAATCTTCCACAAACACCGTAATTTCATGTTCCATGTCAATTTGTTAATATTTTGGTCCAAATAAGACAAAAGACTACCATTGTTAGCATATTGCATAACAATCATGTACTCTTTTGTTTCTGGGTCTTGTGT